CCGAGTCGTCCGTTTTGCGCACTCGCGCCCGTCTCCGCGTCTCGCTTCGCACGCTCCGAAGGCTCCGAAGAGATCGGAGCTTTTCAGAGCGCCAGGCCTGGCGGCGGCCCGTAAATCCTCCGCGGGATCGCGCGCGCAAGCGAGAACGCGATTGGCCGCCGCGGCCGCCCCACCCCGGTCGCCGGTCGCGTCGGGTACGCTCGTCAGTCGGGCTCGGGCCACGGTCGGGCGCGTTTTGTGTGTCGTCTGGTCGCGCTCTCACGTACGCGAGCGTACGGGTTTGTCACTGAGAGAGGAAAAAAGATTGAGGTAAGCGCTCTTCGCTCGACGCCCGCGATCTCGTTGAAATCTCGCGGCGGGTGGAACGGGGGGGAACCACCGTCGCGCTTCTGTCACCGCCGCCGGTGGGGCACCACGCTCTCTCCCCTCGGACTCGCCCTAACCGATATATATACGCGCGTGTATATCCCGGTCGACGAACGCGTTTTCTCGGACGCCACAAAGAACGCAGCGCCTCTCCGTGCGGGAGATAAGCGTGATCCGAGGGAGCGAGCGAGAGAGACTTAACACGGTACATGTAGAAAGAGAGAGGAAAGTGGAAGGAAATAGAGGAGCCCGATGGCGCTCACGCTCGCCTTCGTGTGTACTCTCGGGGATCGATACACGGAACACACTCGGCGCGAACGGTGTGTGGGTGCATGTGTGCGAATGAGAGAGGCTGTCGGGACGATGTTGGACTCGCGGGCCTCCGTAACGAAAGAAATCCCACCAGATGTTGCGTAGCGTTGCCGGAGGAGCTCGTAAAGTCGGCATGGGGATTTCGTCACTCGTGACGACTCGAATCCTCGCTATCGATCCAAACGCGTCTCCCAAACTCGGCTCTCAGCGTCTTTCCGACACCGGACGCGGATGTGCACCGCCTTCCGTCTTCCGTGTCGAGTTATCGAACGGACCCATTTCCCTCGCGCATGCAACGCAAGGCGATGCCGGAGCGGAGCGGTTTTACCACCGGCGATTACGATAGGTCGATGACTTTTTAGCGTGCGATAGCGTGCGCGCCGATTTCGTCCTTCCGACTTGGACCGAACTCGGGCTGACTGACCAGGGTTGCTTCCTTTTTTTTTATCTAATCTCTCGTTCGTGTCAAGAAGCGACAAGTATCGTATCTCTGTTGGCCAAACAGAGTGCAGGTTACTGCTCGATAAGTTAATCAAAGCTTGATCCAAGTCAGCTGCTATCCGAACAAAATTGTCATTCTATTTATAAATAGACGTCGGATTGGCACCTGCTCCAAATCAATATTTTACAACTTTGATCGTATGAATAATGGTCATTTCTTGAGTTTTCGAAATCGGAGAGAAACATGCGATAGCTCAACAATAGCTCTCGTAACGAAAATCGGAATTGATCGGTCGGCGATGAAAAAATGCGGTGCATTATAGACGAGGCTCAGAAAGTACGGTCGTGGAGAGAAGCATTAGAGACAATATGTACTTGGAATATTGCATCGCGAAACGAGCGCTCGTATACGTCTCTGTAGACGTACGGAAGGAAGAAGAATGAGAGCGGGGAATGCGGAAAGCGTACTTATCATTTATGTTCCTTTTGTTTGCGCCTTCCGCGTTTACGACTCCGTCCGTTTTAGACACGCTTTTGTACGCCCTGTCACATTTTTCGCCGCTATCTCTTCTTCCTCGAGGCCCGAAGACGTATTCTCTCTCTCTCTCGCCAACGCACAAAGCGCAGAAAGGTGCGACCGCAAGAGAGCAATCGCGTATTCCCTCTTCCGCGTCCGCCGTCAAAGCGCCCGCTTTTCGTGTCTCTCGCCTCGTTCCGCCTCCAAACGGGTCAGCTTATCAGATTTTCAATTCCAAAAGTGCGGTTAACATTTTTAATATATCGAGTCTTGCTCCGAGCGGGGGGAGCAGTCTCAGCTGCGAGCAAACGTGATATTTCTAAGTTAGCCTCGAGTCATCGTCTTACAAGAAGGATCCACACGCAAAAAAAACAGTAAGAATTTCAACCGTACGGAATTCTCGCCGTTGGAATTCTTTTCAGAATGCTCGCTTCAAGACGTTTTCGTACAGTGATGGATAGAATGGTGGCGACACTGTTCTCAAACTGCGTGCAGGAACGCACATTTAGATGCAGGTTTACGTTCCAAAACATTTCCTCCGAGGAAAATTTTACCTGAAGGAAACGCTCAGAATGGTTTCGGAATGGCCATTCCTCGTTGAAAAAAAAAAGAGTGATGCAACCATTCTGTCCAGCACTGTACAATCGCAGCACAAAGTAGCTGAAATTCGACTTATACAAATGGACTGCGCGTGAAAAGAATTGAAGACTACATTAAAGTGAGAGAGAGAGAGTAATTGTCTAATTGTTTTCTCCCCGCTCTCAACAAAGAGCGATATCTCTATCCTTCAGTGTAGTCTTCAGCATAGTGCAACTATAGTAGCTCCGCTTGGTCATTGGTTTCGTTTTGCGTCCATTTCTTCTGCGCATTCGACATTGCTCTGGGCAATGAGAGAAAAGTTGTATGTGCGAATACCACGTGACTGGGACCGCAAAGATCAAAGGGGTTGGCAGAGAGTGGACCTACTATAGTATCCTAATATCAGTGAATCTCTAAATGGTCCCAGATATATTGTACTAAGGACTGAATAACTCATGTCGACAGAGGGATGAATCCGTGTGCGAACAAAACCTTTGTCGAATTACCAATTTGATTCCGTTTCAAAAACAGATACCAAACATCCTCAAGTGTTGAACTGTCAATTCGCGTGTGGGCTAATTATCGCGCAGTTGAGTATTACACATTGTTACAATCGTGACTTTACATGCAGAACGGTTCCGATGCTCGCGACCAAAGACATTGTTTCGCGTAGCGAGCGCGTCTTCTTTCTTACACTTGAACATACGAATTCGTTTATTCCCGATCGCCGTAGTCTCTTTCTCGCGGGGTCACCGTACGACCCCATAGGCGACGTTATAGTCACGTTATAGTCGATCGATCGTAGAGCGGTTTGCATGTCGCGATGTCGATGACTTTTTGCGCGCGCGATGCGCGATTCGCGATACGCTCGAGTCGGCAGCAAGGCGGCCGGATTACCGTTTTAATGCCAAAAAACGAGCAAGCTGCTCGCTCCTCCGTCGAGATAGCGCAAGACCACGGCCGGAACGATGAAAATTTCATTCGGGATAAGCCGAGGGGGACAGGTGCGCGTGGTAGCTCCTGTTGACAAACTCGAGCGTAATTGAATTGATAAAAGGACACGTCTCGTTAAAGAACGTCCTGAAAACGCTGCTGAATTGAGCGATAATAAGGCACACAAATATCACGCGGGGTAGCTCGCACTTATTATTCACTTAGAAGCATTTATTTTCCGCAAGGTTTGTCGCTCTCGTGAAATAGGCGTCGTGCGCGACTCGAAACGGAGCAAGAAACAAATCAGCCTACGAACGAGCGCGAAAAGAACCGACTATTATAGAGGATTTAAAACCCGAACTTGGATTTTATTGAGCGCGTCTAGACGCATAGTTAATTTTTACGATCAAAACACGCCTCAAGATAATTATCTCTTTTACTTTACATTCGGAATTACTTTGATTAATGGAGAAACTTGACGTTTCTGTTGTCATTCCTCGATTTTATCTCGAACTTTGTTTCCCTTTTCTTAACTTGTTAAGATTTAACTATCGCGCAACAGAGTTTCGCGCGAGTAACAGAGTTGATAACAGTTGATTGCAGTTTTTAGTTGGGCTTCTCACTTTCGAAACTGGGCTATCGATTTTCAGAGTGTAACAAGTTTCATACGTTGCTCGAAGCTGATGATGTTAATATTAAGTTCCAACTACATTATACGCCAAGTTGAATGAGTTCGGAGCCGCCAAGTAGTCGAGCTGAATCCAAAGTAACGAGCGAGATCCCGCTCCATTTGTCTGCCTCGTTAACATTTTTACACGCTCGAAACGAGATCGATGCACCCCGCTGTCCGGAAACAAAGAGGAACACGGTGCGCCGTGTCAAACGCTGCCAAAAACAAAAAGGACTGGAGGAATTTTGCGAGGAACGTTGCGAGCCAGGATGACAGCGTGGATGTGGATGGATTGTAATATAAGCGGCCTTGGTTTAAAATCACGGCATGATT